CAGCAGGACATATGTACATAGTTGAACCTGTAAAATGTTGAATTATGCGCGAATATTTATGGATAATGGTAAGTTGTTAGACATTAAAGCGCGCGGCGTGATGTTTCCTTCCTTGATTATCACACCTTGCTTTTAAAGCGCAGAAAAGTGGCGTGCTCGATAACGAGAATAATGCACGTTAACGTCTATTCATGTCCTCCGAACGCTGAGCATACAGATATTTCAAATCACCGATCAAGGTAGACATTCTGTTTGATTAATGGGTTTTATCATATTTCCGCGACGACAATCTCGTGTCATGGATACAATAAAGATTACGATTTGTCAATAGCTTTTAAGTTTGTAAATTTGTGTTATTAATCATTGTAATATCAATTTTTATAAAGTTATATAGTACCTGGATTATACATAAGATATATCGGTTGTCGATACACACACACACATATATATATATATGTGTGTATAAATATATATATGTGTGTGTGTGTGTGTGTGTGTGTGTTGATAATTTGTGACTTGTCTATGTCAAAATTATCGGAACTCTGATTTACAAAACGAAAATCTACTTTTGTGAAATATAATCACATTGATAATGTTTTTTGGTCATATATTAAATTCAGTTTTATGTATTAAATTCAATTTTAATTATTTTTAACCAAAGAAAATATTGATTTCAAAATTACATTTTTGAAGATTGCCGTTATGAAAAATTTGAAACATGTTTTATTTATATATTTATATTTGTATACTTCTCTGTTGAGAGAAATAAATGATTTATTTTCATCATGTATATCAAAACATCCATTTTTTATTTTTCGCGAGAATTTTTTTTTACGCACAAAATTAGAACGCGGCTCTCCCAAACGTATCTTTCTCTACTTTCAGTAGTATAGAAGTAGTTTTGACGCGCCACATAGTTGTAGATATCCAAACTCCGAACTAACTCACCGCTTTAATTTACTATAATTAGTTAAAGCCGACTTAAGAACGGCAACACAACACCTGTCATTCAAAGTAACCCGCAACTCACGTTGGAATCATGCGTCAGACAGGACACGGTATATAAGACATTAACGTAGAGACCATGTCATAACCGGAAGCACATCAGGCTAATACATCACGACGTTCTGCGGTCGCTACAAGGCACAACCTTAGCTGCATAAGATGCTAGAGAGATGCTTAAATATGTCATATGCTTGATAAACTAATTGAATCCGTTATCTTAAAAGCGGCATTTATATGAATAATGTTTCGAAAATATTGAAACGTGCACATCATTCTCCAATTGATATACATACCTTGAAGAAAATGCATTTCTTAACTCTAAAATTATTAACAAAAATTTATTGCTAGGTAACATTAAATTATGATTGGGAAGAGGGGGAAAGCGGTGTAGATAAAGAGAAATGCAGGAAACTAGAGAGAGAGAGATTTATATATATATATATATATATTTATATGTATGTAAATATGTATGTATACGTATGTATATTTATATGTATGTGAGATTATATATATGGACTTTTTTCCTGGTTCAAGAGCGAGTCCGTTATATTGTTTTCACGTGTGTTTAATATTTTTATTATAAAATAAAACGTTTTCAAACCGATATTACATAACATTTTTTTCTTGTTTTTATCCACATAAAACATACTGGCCAAGTTTGATTATTTAATTTTGAAACACCCTGTATATATATGTATGTTTTGAATATTATTAATCAAGAAATACATATCTTTGCTTTTAAAGCGCAGAAAAGTGGCGTGCTCGATAACGAGAATAATGCACGTTAACGTCTATTCATGTCCTCCGAACGCTGAGCATACAGATATTTCAAATCACCGATCAAGGTAGACATTCTGTTTGATTAATGGGTTTTATCATATTTCCGCGACGACAATCTCGTGTCATGGATACAATAAAGATTACGATTTGTCAATAGCTTTTAAGTTTGTAAATTTGTGTTATTAATCATTGTAATATCAATTTTTATAAAGTTATATAGTACCTGGATTATACATAAGATATATCGGTTGTCGATACACACACACACATATATATATATATGTGTGTATAAATATATATATGTGTGTGTGTGTGTGTGTGTGTGTGTTGATAATTTGTGACTTGTCTATGTCAAAATTATCGGAACTCTGATTTACAAAACGAAAATCTACTTTTGTGAAATATAATCACATTGATAATGTTTTTTGGTCATATATTAAATTCAGTTTTATGTATTAAATTCAATTTTAATTATTTTTAACCAAAGAAAATATTGATTTCAAAATTACATTTTTGAAGATTGCCGTTATGAAAAATTTGAAACATGTTTTATTTATATATTTATATTTGTATACTTCTCTGTTGAGAGAAATAAATGATTTATTTTCATCATGTATCAAAACATGCTACACCTATAATATATACAAAAAGTTTTTGAAGGATCAAACTTTGCCAGTATATCCAGAAACAAAAAATATATAAACATTGGTTCCTAAAAATGGTACATTATTGATTTATTACGTATTTATTATCATATCATAAAAAAAAGAAAATACATTTGCTTAGTTTTCCATTTCAAAATGTTATCCTATGTTTCTAATAAAAATTTGACATCATTGAAAGATCGAATTTAATACTTATACTGGCCAAGTTTGATTATTTAATTTTGAAACACCCTGTATATATATGTATGTTTTGAATATTATTAATCAAGAAATACATATCTTCTAATGGATGTCAATATATATTTCTATTATTATTTATAAAAAAAGAGATTAGATTTTAATTGGCAGAATTGTGTCTATATTATTAAATACAGATCTCGTGTAAATCTCGCTGAAAGATCGAATTTAATACTTAACGAATTTCATATCTACCTTGTTTTAACTCAATGAATGCCAAACTAATTTTGTCTTATTTATTTAATAACGTTATATAATTACGCTCTGACAAAGCATATGTCTTTATTACAAATTTTCCAGCGGATACTTTGCGCAGAATCTGCTTTCGATTTGGCTACCTCGTCCGCAATATTGTAATCAATCATTTGAAGAATCCAAGCGCATTATCTAAAAAAATTCTGCGACACATCATCCCCGTACATTATCCCCGTGCGTTGTTCGCCCACGTAAAATGTAATTTACACCCCCGAAAGAACCTCGGCGGCGCGTGTCGCGCGAATCGATGAACGGTGACTTGAGTTCGCGGAGCGGCCGCGCAAGGCCACCCGGCGCCACCGTCGCCACCGTTTGACGGGGCTGACGCGACGGTGCGCCGTGCGAGCTGCGCAACGCGCACGTGCGACTTACGCAGTTCGTGGTTGCACTGTCGCGAGGACGGACGAGATAACGCCGTATCCGCCGTCACTCCGGTCCCGCGAGGTCTTCGCTTCGGTGACATCCGCGTTCGATTCCGCCGAGTACTTCGAGCGAGCCCAACGCCGTCGGTTCGAGAGAGGGATACGAATCTGAACGAGAGAGAGAAGAGAGGTGCAAATTCCAGGAGCGAGCTCGTTGACACTCGTCGCAAGATGTTCTCCGGCCTGACGAATCAGGTGTCCAATTGGATGGGGAAGAAGCCCGAGAACGGCAGCGAGGTGACAGGCGAGCAGAAGGTCGCCTCCCCGGATGCCGAGAGCGCCGTGGATCTCGAGAAAAAGAACAATACCAGGTACGCCGTTCCCTTCCTCCGTTATCTGCCATAACCTGAAATATCGTCGCTCGCGGGAGGCCCAGGTCCGTTGACCTGGGTCTGCGCGTGACATCTCTTTCCGATAACGAAATGTCAGCCGCGAGAATCCCGCAGCCGTCCGTTCACCGCGAGATCGATTCCTCCCGAGCCGGATAACTTTGACAGGGGGGAGGGGGGGGGGGCGGTACATTTTTC